CGGCTGGACACCGCAAGTCATTGTAAAGGTCACATACGCATTCAAAACGCTACTACAATTCTGAATGGAAGTTGGAGGCCAGGGTACAAACCAGGGATTGAACAGCATCAAAAGACTATCCGACAATCAAATCTCAGCATTCGCTGATCGATATCTGCCCCGCTGACATCGGGGCAGATATCGATCAGCGAATGCGAATGCATAGAATCGCACTGAATGCGCAGCCCAGGCCGAGAAACAAACATTGAAATCCAACTAGACACATTCACGAGTTCACAGAGATTTTAGAAAGAGCTCGGAATGATGCCATTGCGCTGCCGGGATCTTTCAGTGGCAGAATACCATCATAGATACACTTTAGTCTCTTATGAGAGAACCACTTCATGCTCATTCCTAGCCTCTCGTACTCCCTCATCGGCGTTTTTCTGGTGCTTTTATCCCTTCGTCCATCCCCTTTATATTGCTTGTGCTAAAATGAGGGCATGTTGATATCGCGTCACTGCTTTCGTCTCTTATTTTACATCACATCCAAACGGGTTCAGTAAACCCTGACAAAACCACTGAACACTCGAACTTTCCAAAGAAAACGGGACTATCGTCGGCCTTACTGCTATTCCTAATGTGAAATCTGGAACTCTATATTTCAAATCTCATCCCATTCAAACTACATTATTCGCTACGTATCATATCTGTGATAGACTTTCGAGAAAATACCAAAACAAAATCTGTCTTGTAAAGATCCTGATAAATTTTTGTCTATTTACATATACATTACATATGCCACTGAACAAAGCAAGTACGAAACCAAAGTCGATGTCAAACGCGATCATGATGACTCGGCATTTTTGTCGTGCTGTCTGCGCTCCCCTCTTTAGACACATACTCTCATTTCATAAGCGAACGGTGCTTATTTATATGAATGCTCCCAAAGATTCTGCGATTGATAAAAGAATAGAGTGCCGGTGCGTAGGTGTCGCTACCCTTGATGAAATAAAACACTTCTACTTTCATGCTTCTTTCCTATTTTATGATGAGTAACATTTTCTATAACTTGGCAACCCTTTCCCTTATAACTCGTCCAACTCTCAAGCCCATCTACTCTAACTCGTCCAACCAGGCCTTGTGTTTCTACTCACACTGAAAAACACATTTTACACTGTGAAATTGATTCAGAGTTCATTATTTCAACAGATTTTGCCCCTAAGGGATGTTTCCATAATTTGTCAAGCCGCAGTACATATCCCAGAGAGGTCATATAGAATATTGCATATAGTCATTATCTAATCCTCACGCGTAAAGGACTCAAGGTATGAAAGCAAGATCAGCATTTTCATGGACACAATTTGGACAGTATACTTTATTTGGCATACTTACACACTACACAATATCTGCATTATCTCTTTACAAAGAAAAAAAAGAACATTAAAAGGAATGATTGCCTGACGAAGAAAAAGGATTATTTGAGGATAGCAATCAAACTACCACACAGATGAATAGATTTAGAGACTGATAGCACATGAAAAAAAGATTATGAGTACTACAAGTAGAAAAAACCAAATCAGTGTTCATGTAAGTATGAAAAAGCACATCAATGTGAAGTTACAGTATCGAGCATGAACAGTGCGCAAGCTTATAGAATTGGTTAGAACAGAGATTTGGTGTCGTCATTAATCTCTTCTCTTCCTGTTATCCCTTTCCTTCTTGTCAGCCAGAAGAACAACAAGGTATCTAAATTGACACGGTTAAAATGATTGAGAATTGCTGAGTAGTTTTTCCACCACAACCTCACTCGAACACTGCTCTCAATTAAAAAGAATGTCATAGTAATCCAAAAATCAATCAAATGAGTATTCTATACTTCACTAAATTTTTCCGATCATTTTTTTTCTGACTGCTCGCAATAACAACAGTTTCACTTCTCTAAGCTTCAACTTTCCTAACTCTATATCATCTTGAAGATATCCTCCCGAATCTCTGAATCAAATAAAACCCCGATGCACCAAATCCCAGATGGTCATCCTGAGACAAAACCGGTCCCCCGAATTGTGCAAACAAAAGTCACAGTGCCGCCTGCGCCACCACCAGATCGGATGAATTACCAATCAATTTTACCCTATATTTTAGACGCAAATGAAATGATACCGTCAACTAGACCGACAAGGCCGATTTCAAGTTACTACAGAGTGAATTGAAAAGGCAATAAGAATCAAGCAGACAAATGCTAATTCCAAAGCATTTCAGTGAGAAAAAAANAAAAAAATCATCTAATACCAACCTGAAAATGTTGGCAAAGTCGATGAAGAGTTCCACTGAGTGCCAGATGTAATCATCGTCTCCACGGCGAGATTTCTCCGCAATCAACTGAGTGTCGTACACCACGAAAGCACATGACAAAGCGAGCCCTTCAAATGCAATGAAATATAGACAAAATCCGAATATTTTAAAGAATTTTCTACGTTCTACAGAATCAGAGTCGGTCGAAAGTAAACAATAAACCCCTATTTAAAATTACTGGAGAATAAGGGGATTTCGTATTCTTTGTTCAACTAACCTCCAAGGATTAGGACGTAGTACGAGGCGAAGAACGAGGCGAACAACAGGCACAATGCAGCGGAAGCCAGAGTACCTGTAATATACAATTCAATCGAATATGCTTTGGGAAAATAAGTTCAATCAAAACTGATCGATAAGGATTCTGAGAAGGTAGATAGTGGAACACACAGCTCTACATTCCATTACCGTCAAAAGAATTACGGAATCATCGATAACGCTCACCTCCCATGTGTATGTACTTCGTTGATGGAGCATGAAGAGCGACAAGTGAGAAGCATCCGAACACGGTAGTTGTGGCCAACAAAGCGGTCAATACACACGACGGGTCAATGTCAATTACGCGCTCCAAAAGTGGTCCCATGCTCACACCTGAAATGAATAAGAGTATTATAGAGCCTGTTTCGACTTGATGTTTTGTTAAGTGTTGTTATTTCGCCGCAGTACGCGTTCCGAAAGTCTCACAAGGTTGTCGATTTATGGATCAACAAAGAATAAGCCATCTCAAATTTACGCCAATTAATTTTTAGAATGAAAATGGCTCCGAAAGAGTTGCAACACACCACCCTCAAGAACAAAAACCCTGCAACATCTTGTTTTCAAGTTTTTCGGCGACCTATGGAGGACTTTCTCGCCGTTTGTGAAACAGTCTGACCAGCGTAGAACACAAGGCCAGAGCGATACCGACATTCACAACGCTTATGCAAGAATCATAACATGAAATCAATGAAAGTCAACAGAAAAGATGAAGGCAATGAACATGAAAAGGCGTCAATGACAGTACAGAAAGGGTGAACAGCGTGGGCTTTCGAAAAACTTCGTGATTCACCTGCATGCACTCATGTCTTTGGAGAAAAAAGGAAAAGCAACTTACCAGAAATTCCACAGAACAGGAAGAAATATGCCAGTCTCTTCTTTTCGTTCGCTCGAGTATGTGGAGTCGAAATCAGAGAGAACATCAAAACGATCGATGCCAGTGACAAGAGGAAATTCGCTCTGAATACAAAAGCAATAAATGCTCGAGCATAAAAGGGAAAATAGCCTCATTACTCCTGGCAACGTGTCAGATCTCTTTACAGCTCACTCTAACTTTGCTTTTTACCCAACCTAGATGCCGACAACTTAACCCATGAATAGTATAAGCAGATGCCTCGTCAAAAACTAAGGTAATCCCTGCCAGCATAATGTGGGAGGCAGCATTAACCCTATTAAGACTAGCAAGAATGAAAGTAGAACACAAATTCGTACCGCCAAGATTTATCATACATTCCCTTTCAGAGCAGCCGCAATTCCAGAAATGTTTCTTTTCGCTTAGACGAATGATCAATTTATTAACCATCCCTAATGCTACCTGTCTGAGACTCTCGGCTCTGGCTGAGCCATATTTTGCACGCTACCACCGCAACTCGAATTATCGCCTGGGCAACAGCCAATTCAGAATTATCGATGATTCTACTTATTTTGTTGATGTCTGCCATCTCTTATTAAATCCACATCAAGCCCATAGAACAACCACAAAAGGAAAGGTAATAGTACTAGTAAGTACTCCCAGGCACAATCTCTTTATCTAAGAGTTCGTCTGACAGAGAGTTTCTGTGAATCATTGCAACTACTCTCACAGCCATTCAACCATCGCATTTACTATTAAGAAATTCGGAAGAAAATATTTTGTTAACATAACAAATAACATAATGAAATTTGTTTCGACTTGCGTCTGTAAATAATTCGCAGGCTGCTAGCAAAGCACCATTTGTGGGTTGAAAATCTTATCAGGTATTCTATCAAAACAGTCTTGCAGCTTTGAACGCGCGCATAGAAAATCAATACTTCAGCGGAACGGATCAGGCAAGAAATCAGCGCATTGAGCACGCTATTCTTCCAGCCAAGGAAAAAAAAAACAGAATTTCAATGAAATCACTAACCTGAGGACATTCGTGAAGATATGGACCGCTGCGCCGATAGCTGCTGCTCCAACGCCAGCTGCCACAGTTGCGTAAACGTTACGCAAATGTTCCTGAACGCTTTTCTCCCTGAAAAATGATAGGTTCTCAACTCTGTGAGTAATAAGATCATCACCACCAGAGAAACCCACAATTTGTCATTGAGACCAGAGAAAGTGCGTTGAATATTGTCGAAAAAATTTGTAGCGCTTGGTGAACGGGAACGATTCATCCTGTAATGATCGACAGATATGTTTATCAACAAGACGCGGTATGAAAATTCGAACATATGGAACGGCTCGAGAAAAAGGAACAGCACTGGCGATGGGATTCAAACAAAACTAAGTAGCAGCCTCAAAGTCTGCCACTGTACAATGCAGCGAGATTTCAAGCTGTAATAATATATCAACATGCGGTCTCTATGGCAATAACATCTTAAAGTTTACAAGACATTCCAAGAACTCTGACAAAGGGAGACCACAAACCAACCACTTTTACGTGGAGACGTGATAGCTGAAAAGAATGGACGAAAAAAAACCATCTGTTCAGAAAAGATATGCTCGTCCTAAGATATTTTGCAATTCCCATAGAAAGAAACTATGAAAAACAATAGGTCGCAACGATAACGTTTTCGCATTGAGTAGTTCCGTTTCAGCAGGCATATGCGCATTCGACATCCACGCACAATCATTGTGGTGTTTGAGAGCGCGGATGCACCCCGAAAGATGGCCAGTTCTAGCTGAAGATGTGAGAGAAGCGTAGGAAGCTACCCATATCCTGATCCAAACTTTTCTATTTCAAACTCGATTAAAAAGACAGTGCGGAAACGTCAAACTTCGCGCCATCGAGACTCACTTTGTTTTTTGGCACAGCAGAACTAGGAAATACTTGTCGTACTACCAGCCCTAAATAGGTATTAATCTCGGAAATCACGCCATCCCGTTTACGCGCTCACCACATGGGAGGCTGATAGTATCTACTGATAGTATCTACAGCTGGTTGCAAAGTGTGCAATCCCAGTCAACATCTTATTTTCTCACTCTGAGTTAGTTAGGTTAGTTAAGAATTACCTAAAACGTTTTTGCAGACCCCCCCCCCCTCTTGTCTGTACGTAGGTTTGTATGCTTGCGTGGCCTATGCAATGATTTGCAGAGGCCAGCCGAAATAGAAACCAGATTTTATCCTCCCAGACAAGACTGATGGCAGACAACCTAAGGGAAGGTTTGCATAGCTAGGATGGACATCAATCCGATAGTAAGTCCTCAACCATACGCGTGTTAGCGTAGTGTGTGATAGTATGATAGTGAACCACTTGCCACTACACTACAACCGCCGCTACTTTTTAAGTAAGAAGAGTTCTACTAAAGTCATGATTCATCCGTCCAATAGTGCACTTCACAGCGCCGTTGTTGAAACAGCCCGATTTACATTCTTAATGAAGACCCACACAAAGTGAACAGCAACATACGAGCTGGTGGGCAAACACTGTACTCCGATACGAAACGCTACCAGTAGGAATGATGAATGAATATTCATTTTGCAACAGCAAAGCGGCGTCGAAATAATGCTGCGATCGCCTTTCTTCGCAGTAATAGCTTTAAGGGAAGCTTGATTAGCTTGAAGAGTCCTGACACACCTCGAAAAACGTGGCGCGATCCTGGCGCTTCTTTTACGAGAGAAGCAGATAACAGCAAAACGGCTTGTGGAACCATTTGATTGGTTCCTATCATTTCCTTCTAGCGTGGACATGCCCTTTCCCCAGAAAAAAATTATTTTTTACGGATCCATCCGTTTCAGTCAATGATCTTGGATATATGGGAAATTAGGGGTGAATAGAAGAAACCGGGAAGCGAATATTACGTGAAGGAATCTATTCTTAAACAATCTACGACCCAATTAAAAGACCGCGAATCACTGTAAAGGTAGTCGTAGTGTATTCACCAGTGCCTGATTGTGTTTTACGACCTATTGGGACTCGAGAGCGCAATGATCCGATTAGGACGTATACATATATTATACCGGTCTATGCTCGATGTGATGTTTCATAATGAGCTCTGAGATCCTAGCATATACGTAGATTGAATGAAAAATAAGCCACTCTCCCGCCTTTTCCCGCAGCATCAATCACTAAATATCATGAACCCCACAAATTATTATACTACCTTTACCAGAAGGAACCTATGCCTTGGGAGTTAGAGAGAACCCGCCCGTTCAACAGCGGCAAGGGTTGAAGACCTGAGATCAACAATAAGTTGCCGAATACAACAAGTTGTAGACAAAACTAAACGCGAATCAACATTTTCATGAAAAATTTGTGGATGTCGATCCACCCAACGAAGTCCTGGCATAAGGTTGGCCTGGGAAATCACCACAGAGCGTGAAAGTAATCAGACAAAGTGCTTTAAAGTTGTACTCGATATTAATAAAATTGAAGCTGCACTAACAGGGAGGGCGACCACACATTTGTTATCCATTAACTACATATCATTCTGTATTAGTCATGACATTCTAAGAACTTCTTGTTAAAAATAACACTAATCCTTGGGAAAGCACTGCCCAGACGCCCTTTCCTGTGTTTCAGACAGGAGGACGAGGGACTAAAGGACGCCTAGGAAAACGATTTTAGCGAAATATCAGAAGGAAATAGAGATGATAACGATAACGGAGCTAATCTGGATGAGTCAGCTTCTTTTTGTTCTTCGTTGTACGGCTGAACTGAATATACGTCCACATCACATTCGCTAAAAGGCTATATGGAAACATTTTCAAAGATACGAAGCCTAATAATGGCGTTTCTATAAAAGCTTTTGCCATGCCAATGTCCCATACCGTCTGCCCTGCCACTGAGTGTTCTGCCAATAGCTATCTGTGTACATAGTTCATACTTGTAAACCCGATCATGAAACCCGCGCTATCCAAAGGATCACGAATGACATTGAGTGAGAACTACTTCTTTTGTCCGATCCTTCTGAAACGGCTACAGCTAATAAAGTTCAAATGAAACCTACAAAATAAATGAGCTGCAAAATTCTTTCGCCTCCCAAAAAATGTATCCCTTATCTCTACTACGTGACTACGAACGCCGTTCCACTCCTCCATCGTTTCTACCGCAGCTGATATAACTGACGGATGGTTGGCGATAAGGGCAAAAACAGACAGACAGATAGTGAGCTCGGATATTTCGGTGATTTTGAGTGGGAGTGATGAACGGGCTATAAATGCATCCAAAGCAAAAGAATTTATGCTTTGAGAGCAGTCATGGTTTCTGTTTAGAGCATGAAGGTCATTCTCTTAAACTTTGTAACACCTACGGATTTCACCTGCTTTAATTCAACTGAGGTGAGGATGTAGAGACAGGATGATTGGGGGAACCTTAAGTTATGCGAACTTTTCAGACGTACAGAAACTTAAACAATCGTTCTGCATCATTTCCGTTTTTTCTGACCTTAGAATGTTCTCTGAAGAGCTCTAGAAACTTCCTAACTCAGTTGACTTAAAAAGCATTCCATAGCTTAAACTACCGCATGAGATTAGCTTCACATACTTCTCTAAAAAAGCTAAGAAACAACGAGTTCAACCGGATTTCTGGACCAGAAAGTGGCAAAGAGCGGATCCCCTGAATAACCGTAGAATGCCAACAGAAACAGCGCTAACCTCAGAATGAACCGAGTCTGACAGAACGCTAGGAGACAATGAAACGAACATATGAAGTCAAACGTTAAGAAAACCGTTGGCAAGGGAATCTAGAAATTTCGAAATGAACACGTCGCTTGTTACACGTCGCACAGGGCGCCCCGACCCGACCGCCGGTAGCAATCGATGGGAGAGTGGGCGGGGCAAAACACGCCCACCCTCACAGAATTGCCTGGCAATCGCGCGTTCCATCGGCTGTTATCAGAGTGGATGGCTGTTGTCAGGACCAGTCGCCCGTCCTGGTCAGAACCTCCTAGCACTACCGTGCANTTGTTACACGTCGCACAGGGCGCCCCGACCCGACCGCCGGTAGCAATCGATGGGAGAGTGGGCGGGGCAAAACACGCCCACCCCCACTGGATTGCCTGGCAATCACGCGTTCCATCGGCTGTTATCAGAGTGGATGGCTGTTGTCAGGACCAGTCGCCCGTCCTGGTCAGAACCTCCTAGCACTACCGTGCATTGGGGATCAACAGGTGATCCCCAATGCACGGTAGTCTGAAGGTGAATAGAGGAGCAAAATTGAGGAAAGAAAATAGCCTGTGATTGCAAACAAAGCGCTATCACAAACGTAAGGTCCGCAGGTGAAACCCAGGCTCGATACTCGCAGGAACTAATCATCTCCCCTTTCTTCGGCCTCGGTAAATTGGTATCAGGCTCGTCTTGGAGTATAAAAGCACTGGCTTATACGTCGTTTGGCCGTCGCAAGCCATTGTTAGGGCCATATACTTGTCCAAACACCACTACGATTCAGAATAAAAGTTGAATGCAGTTCACATACCAGAGTGGGATCAATAAATGTGAAAGACGTAATATTCTTAGTAAATATCGAGCCCCGAGTCTAACTCTACCGTCCTCTTCAAAACTAAATTCATAACGGCGCCTTCCCAGTCGTAACAAGTAGTACTTTTGCAAGCTGTCTCATTCTATGCTTGCAGGGATGGAGCCAAAAATGGGGGACGGGACATTCGTGTGTCCCAGGATGCGCGCGGCGAAATTCGTGGCGGTAGGAACGACTTTAGCCCCTGTCATGGGGCCCAGATGTGAAGTAGTGTAGATTGGTAATACTAGCTAATCCTATTACGCTTCGTTATTTTGAACCTGTGGCCCAACTTTAGTTACCAGAGTCGTCAAATCGCCATGAATTTCGCGTCGCAATTTCCTCAAATAATCTCGAGTCACCTAACTTGTTGTAGTCAATTGTTGAGTTCAAGTATTCGTCAGGTTTGGCTGATACCTTGAGGCTACAACTGATAAGACATATCGATGTATACAGTAGTATGAATGGTATGGATGGAGCACCACCACTGAATAAGAGGTGACCGTTACAAGACAGGGAAAACTTTAAAACTTTACTATCAATAAATATATGGAAAGATCATATTGCATCATTGCATTCATCCTCATATCAAAAGGATGCGGTGTACAGTTGCTATAACATGACGCACCGATAGAAAAAAAAACAAAATATTCTAGACAATCTTTGAAAGAAACAATAAAATTATCATCAAACATTTACCAAACGAAAAAAATTGGAGCACAGAATTCCACAATCAATATCAGGATGATCTATACCTACAATCATTCTTGCACCAGAATTTCTCCGAGAAAAGGTAATCGTCGTTATCCGGGCACCATTAAATAAAGAAACGTATTAACACAAAACCGTAAGGTTGTACAGCAGTCAACTGCACTACCTTCGACAAGCATCCACGATTTGAACACGCAAATCCCTGAAAGAGTTCCCAGCTAGTTGGCGCAAGGATTTCAACCTGCCGATAAACACTGACCCAAGCTGACAAGGTAATTCGAGAATGGCGAATTATTTCTTAACTAACTTGATATATAACTAGCTTACAATTGACTATACTATAAGCTAAACGATTAGAAACTCGTCCACGAAATTGAGCCTTACAAGTATACACGTGAGACAAATATGCAACTCCGCTAACCTTAACAAACATTTACACAAATTAGGATCATTCTGCCGCAATTTCCTCCGCATTGTCTTTCCCGTCTAAGGCAGGATCATAACGTAATCGAGGCCAACCGGCCACGTCTTTCTGCTTCATGATAATTTCTACCTGAAATTAAAAACCAAAGTTTTAGACGAAATTGAAAAAGTCGACAACTCAAGCGAAGCATGCAGAATTGCCTTTTCCTGACCTTTCTTTCTCCCACTACTGCACGACTTTCGCTACATACTATTTCTCCCCACAGATCGTAGAGGAGGTCCGTTTCTTTCTTTCCAAAGCCATGAACGATGTGAAGACGTAACATCTGGCCGTCGCTGGTCACCCGGACGTCATCAGGAACCGCACCCTGATTACGGGTAAATCGCTTATAGTAACAAAATCGTAAAGGCGAACAATACTTACTTTGCAGTAAACATTAATGGTGATAGTTCCATTGCTGGAAAACCAGTCATCTCGTATGTTTTCAACTTTTTCATTCTAAATCAGTATTTGTTGAGCACTCAAGTTCATGGTATGAAATTATCGTTAATCAGAATGCAAATCTTACAGCGCTCCACTGATGTTTTCCTTTTTGGCAGCCGGCTTGTGCCAAAAACGCGTTGAAATTCGACGTCTTCTTCTCACAACAAGACCAGTACTTCATGCCTTCATGAAAGATAGCCTGACCTGGATGGTGGATACAAGGCGTAGCGTCTGATTCAGGGCCCGAATACGACTGAAATTTAGAAAACTTAAAAAAAAAAGAGTAAAGTGAAGACGCTAGGACCACGTTGGACGAACCTCTCCTTTGAAGAGAAGTAGAGAAAACGAAAGAAATTTGGCATTTTAAAAAGAGAACCTTATCGCATGCATTATTTCTGCATGGAGCTCCGATCCGAAGTTCATTACTAGCTGGATAGTTCCCCTGTTGCTCACGATAGCGTTGCAAAGCCGCCTGAGCACCAGGAGTGACGTCTATCTACAACAAGGTAGCAATAAGTTGGGTAGTTGTTAAAGAGCTACCAAAAAACCCTCAAGACTGGATCAAACATTGTTTGAAATACACCACTAATACGAAAAACACACAAAAAACCAAACCTTCAACGCGACTTCTTTCCTTTCTTCTTCAGCTTTCCGTTCAGCTGGTTTATTCAATCCCTTCCATACGATGACATCTTCTTCCTTGAACAACAGGTGTTGAGGAAGTTGTTATTTTAGAAAAGAACATCAGCAGTGTAAGAGTCAGCAAGGAAGAAGACATTAGCTCAAGGAAGTAGGGATACTCTCAGAATCTGAAAAGATCTGAGAAAATCCCTGCTATGCATCTGAAGTCTTGAGAATGCGGGAGACGAAATCAATGCAACGTATTTCTGGTAGCGAATAATCAACTTTACAATTTCCCATTCACACAATACCACGTTACTTCATTTCTGTGCAATATCGAAGTGCAACGTCAATGCAAAATTCTATTCAATATTTGCTTGTTAATGAATATAAATAAGATGTTATGATTTAAGGACTAACAAACAACAAGTTCTTCAAAAAAACTGTCCAGAAGCATAGCGATGGAGGAATTCAAAGAAAAACTGCACACATCTGCATCAACACGTGCAGTCACACAATGAAAAAGATCACACGATCGTTTATTGCGACTTTGTTAGTGTAATTTATGAGATAGATGCAAGCCTAGTCTAACCCTGGCAGCGAAGAGGCAGCCGATCAAGTGACAAGTTGTTCTTTAAATCAGTATTCATCAGCAAGCATTCATTTGACTTCCTTCATAAAGTATAAAGTCTATGAGCGTTGGCAATCAAATGATCGGTTTGGGATTGCGCCCTGCATTCAACTTTCATTCAGACCCTTCCGATGAGATCTAGCGGGTATCAATACGACGTCAATCAAGCCCACCATATGTGTATAGTGCGCCGCATGATACTAAACTATACCCGCCACATAAAGAGAGTTTTGCCTCATTTCGAGACCCCTGTAGAGCTATCGAATAAAAACATTCATTTCAAGTAGGGTTAGTGGTCCTAAAAGATGACATCAGTCAGGTACGTAGACAAGAAAGAGTAAAATCAGATTATAGACACGGCATTTAATGTTATTAATTACGAGATCAAATGCAGATTAAACCTCAGCAAAAACATTTGGACCGTCAACGACACCGAAGTGGAAATGCATCTTAGAATCCGAAATTATGGTGATTGCGCAAAACAAAGATGAGGTCCGATTAAATCAAAGGAGACAGCGGTTTCAAGTACATACAAACTAATTCGCCTCTGAATCTTTGCTCTCACGCAGAAGAGTTTCGGCTAGACCCTCCGAAACTTCCCATTTTAGCAGGTTTTTACACACTTCGATTAACGACTCATTAGGCAACGTTGGAATTAGGTACTTAGCGCCTGTCCTTCACATTCTTGTTACTTCGACGAACGTAATGACTAAGAAAAGAGTAATGACAAGTAGTTCGACTAGTAACTAAAAGCTACGTGACTTTACCGATGCAAAAAACAACTTGTACAACAGCACCACATGCTTAATATGCTCGTAAATCTATGACTAAGAACGTGTAAGCGTAGGTTTTGGTAAATAATGAAATCAGAAAACAGCAACAAGACCTCGCTCCTACCGTCTGACATATCTTTTGACAAAAAAAGAAAATGAAAAAAATCAAATTAAAGAAAGGCGCACTTGATTGCCTCACCTTTTCTGGTCGGATCTCCTTCACGGCGGCCACTTTCACAATATCAGCAGGTTTTTCTCCGTTGTGTTTACCACGAGTACATCCCGGAAAGTTAAGCCAGGTTCCAAAGTCGGTGCTTTTCTTATTACAACAATTCCAAATCTTATAAGCATCGTGGAAGTAGGGCGGACCAGGGTGATATAAACAAGACTCTAAAAAATATAGATGACACATTCCTATGACAACTAAGACTTCGCTGAAATGTGAAAAGATACGTAACCTGTGGTGTTGTTCTGTGGATCAAACTTCTGCCCACAACCTTTGTTATAGCACTGCACCAAATTGTCTTCACTAGAAGACCCTTCAGCAGGCATAACTGAAAATAAAGTTTCAAATCTAACGTTACCGCCTTGGGGTAATCATTCAATGAGAAACAATGCCGGCAAATGATAATAAACGTATAATTCAGAATTTGCTTAGTATCAATAAGGAAAAATATAATGAACGTTGTGAAAAACACTCGGCGACGGCTAGAAACGCCAGTCAAGGAGCGTCACAGAAACGAAAGAAAGCCGAAAACCACCTTAACAACCTCCATAGAAGATGACTTATACAAAATCAACTAGTACCGACACGAGCCCCTCATGCAAGTTCTGATTTTAACCCAACAATCGAGGCGATGGGAAATTTCGAGAAATCGTACCAAAACAGTGTAATTTTGCGTGGCGACGTTACAGGAACCGCGCTCAACCTCACGACTGAATAAGAAAACTGGCAAATGCAAAGTTCCTGCAACCTCCGTAGTTTCCGTTGTGGTCATTATTGACTCGTAGTTCGGTTCTACGGGAATGGATAGATGTTTTGGGAGAGTCTTCGAGAAAAAACGAAGAGGTACTTGGTAGAAGGAGGTAACATGGGCTGAAAACCTTCGAACCTTCTTGTCTCAAACCTTTGATGTTTATAGCAGACGC